ATTCCCCTGATATTTGCAGTACCCACATAGTTATTCCACTATTATTGACCACTAGAGGCCCAATGCATGAAATTTGTGCAAGAGTAGACCTTCCTTCCCCCAGCTGCCAGCATCGGCTTCCCTGTCAGCACCGGCTTCCCTCTTCCCTTCCTTCCCCCTGTGGCCACCAGCAGGAACCCGGGACCCGGGCTTCCCTCACAGCCCTAGATTCATCCGGAAGGATGGAAGGACATCCAGAAGGGCATCCAGTCTAATTAGCATATTATGCTTTTATTATTATAGATATTCCCTGTGCTGTACTTTCTATGTGAGATACAAATGCTCACGAAGAAACGTAAATATTTAGAAAGCTGCCCATTATGTTCTCTGAACATATAGTGATATTGGTTACCACTTTAGAGACTGCTCTATGTGTTTCCTCATAAAAACATTATTATTATTCCCATTTTAGAAATGAGGAACTAACTCCCAGAGTGGATAGCTGTGAACTTGCAGAGCTAGGCTGTTTTGCTTTCAAATTCTTTGTCCTTAATACTTGGCTATGCAGCTTTTCTTCAGGGAGAAGTTCTAAGAATCCCAATATTATTAAAATTTAGGTTCAATATCTGGGTAAGAGGGGGTCCAGAACCCTAAGTGCTCTTAGAAACACCCCAAACCTATCTCTCCCCATCTCTCCACCGCCTGTTTACATTAAGATCCTGCTTCCCTTCCGTGTCCTCTCTCATGGTGCAGTTTTCACTTCTACAATCCACAGGCCTTTCTCATTCAAAAGGCCTCAATGAATACAGTTGGTCAAGGAAGATTTTTAAATTTTACATTATTTCTCACCTTAAAAGACACATGGCAAAATTATTCAGAAGACTGATGCCATGACAAGAAATTGGGGTAAATAAGCCACCATCAATTTACAAGTGAATATTTTATGTTTTATCTCTACTATTAAAATATACAAATGAGTCTCATTAATTGAATTTGAATGATACTGATAGTTACTAAAATAGAAACAAATATTTTAAAAGATATGCCTTTTTTATCACAACAATAGTTCCTGTTTAAGTGGGGAACCTAATTTAGAATGGAAGTTAAAGTTGAAATAAGTATTGTTGACAAGAGTATGCCTTCATTATAATTTCTCTTATTTTTACCCTCAAGTTTTCACTTTGAAAAGTATCAAACGGCAGAAAATTTAAGAATAGTAATATCAATATCTACATACCCTCCACATATATTCACCAATTCACATTTTGCCTTTGCGTTACCTATGGTAATAGATCAATCTATTCTAATTTATTTATCCTATTTTTTTTAATGCTAAACCACCTGAAAATAAGTTATCTAATCCAATAAAAGACAAACGTGGTAATTAACCGTACCTCTGACACGCTTCCTATCGGCTAATCAGGGCGATATGCAAATTAACTGCCAACCAAGATGGTGGCCAGCAGCCAGGCAGCTGAAGCGAACATGACACTTGCTTGTTCCAGCGATGGAGGAAGCCAAGGTTCCCCGCCTGCCGCTGCCAGGCTCTGAGCTGCACTCTAAGAAACAATGTTTCAATTATAGAAGCCAAACAAACCCAGATAACTACTTTCAGACAGCAAGGCCTCAAGCTGGAGCCGGCCTCAGAGCTAAAGCCAGCTCTCAGCTCCAGTGAGAGCTATAGAAGGTAAATAAATCCCAGAATAAAAAAAAAGAAAAAAAAAAGGAGAGGTTGGGAGCTTCAGTTACCGCCAGCCTGAAAACGGCCCTCAGCGCTCCCCCGAAGGAGGTGTGACTAGCTGCAAACAGCCATTATGCCCTCATCCAGGCTGGCCAGGCCCCCAAGTGGGACCCCCCCCCTGATCCGGGACACCCTTCAGGGCAAACCAGCCGGCCTCCACCCATGCACCAGGCCTCTATCCTATATAGTAAAAGGGTAATATGCAAATTGACCCTAACAACAGAAAGACTGGGAATGACTGGTCACTATGACACACACTGACCACCAGGGGGCAGATGCTCAATGCAGGAGCTGTCCTCTGGAGGTCAGTGCGCTCCCACATTG